GCCACGTGACCTGGTGGCCCACAAGAGCCCCGCCCCCCCCCTCGCATTATGAACACATTCCTTCACCGATTTAATTGCTCCGTTTTGGCCGCTCCTCGGGCCTCTCTCTCCTCCGCCAAACTCCCTCTCCCCCACTCCCCCTCCTCCTCCCATTGTTGTTGTTGTTGTCGTGGTGGTGGCGGTGGCGCTTAATGAGTTTGGTCGTTTACGATCTAAATTGGGGAGCGGAGTTTAGCCACGGCTGCCACGGCCGCCGCCGCTGCCGCGTGTTGTGCCTGGCTCCTGTCCAGTCGCCGCAGCCGCTACCCCCCCTTCCCCCGCCGCACAGCCCCCACCCCATCCCCCCCACCCTACCCCGCCGCCTCTCCCACCCCCAGCACGCGGCCGCGTCCCGGTGACCCACGAACTCTGACCTTGGCATGAACCCTCCGAAGGTGTGGGGAGCGGTGGTGTAGCGGTTAGCGCTGCGCTGCGCTACGAACCTGGCGACCCGGGTTTCGATTACCGCTCACGGCAAACACCAGTGACGATTATCTAAACCGGTCCTGGGCCTCCCCTAGGTCGATTCGGCCTCAAATGAGTACCTGGTATGATGTGTAAATATCGCCACTGGGGAGACAAAGGCGGCCGGGCGTGGTGTTGGCCACCCACCCCCTCGTGTGCCGTGCCGGCCTTCATAGGTGCTCGCTAACAGTACTTGCCCCTACAGTCTGTTAAGGCTATACGGGGGATCTTTGTTTTTATCTTTGTGTGCGTGGGTGAGAATGTCTAGTGCGCGAGTGTGTTGGATGGATGGAGCGAGAGGATTGTGGTGTGAGTGAGCGATGGGGGAGAGTGCAATTTGTAGTGGTGGCGCATGCTTTTGTGTCGAGTGTCTGTGCCGAGCCGTGAGTGTGGGGCCAGCATGCAGGTGTGGGTGCGTGTGTGTATGTGGGTGCGTGTGTGTGGGTGCGCGTGTGTGTGTGGGTGTGGGTGTGTGCGTGTGTGTGGGTGCGTGTGTGTGTGTGCGCGCGTGTGTGTGTGGGTGTGTGTGTGTGGGTGCGTGTGTGTGCGCGCGTGTGTGGGCGCGTGTGTGTGTGTGTGCGCGCGTGTGTGTGGGCGCGCGTGTGTGTGCGTGTGTGTGTGTGTGTGCGCGCGTGTGTGTGGGCGCGCGCGTGTGTGTGCGCGCGTGTGGGTGCGTGTGTGTGTGTGCGCGCGTGTGTGGGTGTGCGTGTGTGTGTGTGCGCGTGTGCGTGGGTGCGTGTGCGTGCGCGTGTGTTGGGCTTGAGTGTTGTGGTGTGCACGTGGTGGGGGCGGCCGTGCTCGCAGGTGTAACGAGAGGTGCATGTTGGCGGTTTAGCCGAGGTGCATGTGCTGTAGCTGAGGTTTCGTGCGTGCGGTGCAGGTCGCCATCCTCATACCGTTCCGCAATCGGCACGAGCACCTGCCCATCCTGCTGCGCCACCTCGTTCCCATGCTGCAGCACCAGCGCCTCGAGTTCGCCTTCTACCTCATCGAGCAGGTTTGCGAGCGCCCACCTCGTCGCTCCTCGTCACGAATCGCGCGGCCCGCGAATCGCTTTGCGGCAACTCCCTCGTTTCACCACACCGCTCCTCGACGCTCGGACCGCTCCACACGGCGCAACTCTCCGCAACTCGTTGCTAAGCGGGGCTAAGAGGGGCGGCAGTGGCACGACGCGCTAGACGGCGCTGTGTGGCTCTTTTCGATTTAAAGCTTTCGTGACTGCAGGGATTCGTCTTCTTGGTTCTTTCGGTAAAGTCACGTAGAAGGGAAATAATAAAAATAAAAAATAATAAAATACAATTCTCACGACGTTTCGGCCATAACGCATGCAGCCGTCGTCAGGTGAAGAACAGGGCTGTCGCAAAGACAGCGTCTGAATGAACACCACCAGGCTTGGCAGCGTATATTTAAGCTGGGTTGGAGGGGGAAGAGCGCCTTGACAAAATAATTAGCATATTTACGGAAAATATATATTTTTTCTTTAGCTTCCCGTCAAACAGAATGTATTCTCGTCAATTTAATTTCCATTTTGTTCAAATTTCATCTGAAGAGGAAGAAGAAATAGGCGATAATAATGACGGCAGATAAACTATTAAATTTCGATTTTAAGCTTTCGTGACTGCAGGGATTCATCTGTCGGAAAGCCAGCGTCTGAATGAGACGCTGTCTTTCCGACAGACCTGTTCTTCACCTGAGGACGGCTGCTCGCGTTGTGGCCGAAACATCGTGAGAATTGTATTTGATTGTTTTATTTGTATTATTTATTTTTTCCCTTCTACGTGATTTTCCCGAAAGAACCAAGAAAATGTGTGGCTCATGTTGCGGTGCGGTGTGTTCGGTGGCATGCCGTGGTATGGTTTGCGTTGCTGTGCAGTGCGTGGTGATGTGGTTTGGGGCGCTAAGCGGTGCGGTGTGTCGTCACGCGGTGGGGGGGCGGCTTCCACTTTGTACCGGCGCGCGTCGCTAATCGGCGGTGCGGTGCTCACCCCGGCGGTGGCAGGCGGGCGACATGCCGTTCAACCGCGCGATGCTCTTCAATGTGGGCTTCGTGGAGGCGCTGCGCGACGCGCCCTGGGACTGCTTCGTCTTCCACGACGTCGACCACATCCCAGAGAGCGACCGCAACTACTACGGCTGCAGCGACATGCCGCGCCACTTCGCCCACCTGCTCGACAAGTACATGTACATGTGAGTGACGCCACGTCCCCCCCCCCCCCCCCCCCACTACTACCGCTCGTGGTGCCGACACCGCCACCACCACCACGTCGCGGTTAGCCGGGCGGCGCTGCCGGCCTAGGGTTCTCCTGAGTGAGGCGGTTAGCGAGGCGTCGTTGGTGACGGGTCACCGCGCAAACCGGGTGGAGCTCCCTTCCACCAACGGGCGGAACTCCCGTCCACCAACGGGCGGAACTCCCGTCCACCAACGGGCAGAACTCCCTTCCACCAACGGGCGGAACTCCCTTCCACCAACGGGCGGAACTCCCTTCCACCAACGGGCGGAACTCCCTTCCACCAACGGGCGGAACTCCCTTCCATGCAGTTCTAAAGCAATTGGCTTTCAATCTCAATGATGATTTAAAAGCGCATAGCTCCAGTGGTTTTCTAATATCGGAAGGGAGAGTGTTCCAGACGGCCGCAAAAGCACATCTGAAAACGCCGCGATGCGGTGACAACCGTCTTTGTTCTACGCCCCAACACTACACCCCAACGCTACACTCCGATCACTACGCCCCAACACTACACCCCAACGCTACGCCCCGATCACTACGCCCCAACGCTACACCCCAACGCTACACCCCAATGCTACGCCCCTGATCACTACGCCCCAACGCTACACCCCAACGCTACACCCCAACGCTACACCCCAACGCTACACCCCAACGCTACGCCCCAACGCTACGCCCCGATCACTACGCCCCAACGCTACGCCCCGATCACTACGCCCCAACGCTACACCCCAACTCTACGCCCCAACGCTACGCCCCGATCACTACACCCCAACGCTACACCCCAACGCTACGCCCCGATCACTACGCCCCAACGCTACGCCCCGATCACTACGCCCCAACGCTACACCCCAACGCTACGCCCCAACGCTACGCCCCGATCACTACGCCCCAACGCTACGCCCCGATCACTACGCCCCAACGCTACACCCCAACGCTACGCCCCAACGCTACGCCCCGATCACTACGCCCCAACGCTACGCCCCGATCACTACGCCCCAACGCTACACCCCAACACTACGCCCCGATCACTACACCCCAACGCTACACCCCAACGCTACACCCCAACGCTACACCCCAACACTACGCCCCGATCACTACACCCCAACGCTACACCCCAACGCTACACCCCAACGCTACACCCCAACACTACGCCCCGATCACTACGCCCCAACGCTACGCCCCGATCACTACGCCCCAACGCTACACCCCAACGCTACACCCCAATGCTACGCCCCGATCACTACGCCCCAACGCTACACCCCGATCGCTACACCCCAACACTACGCCCCGATCACTACACCCCAACGCTACACCCCAACGCTACACCCCAACGCTACACCCCAACACTACGCCCCGATCACTACGCCCCAACGCTACGCCCCGATCACTACGCCTGGACACGGCGCGCGCACCACCCACACGGCCTCGTTGACACCCCGTGACCCCGTGACCCTGTGACCCCTTGACCCCATGACCCCCGCAGCCTGCCCTACGACGAGTTCTTTGGCGGGGTGAGCGGGCTCACCACGGAGCAGTTCAAGAAAATCAACGGCTTCCCCAACGCGTTCTGGGGGTGGGGAGGGGAGGACGACGACCTGTGGAACCGGTAACCCCTCACCCCTCACCCCTCACCCCCCACCGCTCACCCGACCCCCTCACCCCCCCCCCACCACCGCTCACCCGACCCCCTCACCCCCCCCCCCACCGCTTACTCGACCCCATCACCCCCCCCCGCCACCGCTCACCCGACCCCCTCACCTCTCACACCCCACGCCCCTCATTCCTCACCATCCCCGCAGAACTCGCTCCACGCCCTCGCCAACGCCACTCCCCGTCATCGCCCACTCCCTCCTCGCCTCTCTCTTATCTCCCTCCCGCACACACCTCGCCAACTCGCCCCTCACCAACTCGCCCCTCACCAACTCGCCCCTCATCAACTCGTCCCACAACCGCACGACGCTCGATACCCTCGGGGCCTCCACCGCCCACGGCGGACAGCCGTCGGTTTTTGTGAACGGATCGCACTTGACCGCGTCAGCTCGGCTGTAGGAATGTATCAGTGGGGGCAGTGGGGCGAGGGTTGAGGGGATGGGGTGAGAGGGGTGAGAGGAGAGAGGGGTGAGAGATGAGGGGGGAGGGGTGAGAGGGGAGGGGTGGGGTGAGAGGGGTGAGAGGGGGAGGGGGGGTAGGGGTGAGAGGGGTGAGAGGGGGGGGCTGACACAGAGCGTTGTTACGATTGCGATGTCACGCGGCACTGCACTGACGTCATCCGGAGCCCGAAACCCTCACCGCTGCCTTTGTCTCCCCTAGTGGCGATGTTCACACACACACACACCGCACAAGGTACTGATTTGAGGCTGAGTTGACCTCGGATAATCGTGTTGGGCCTTCCTTGGTGCTACTCGCCAACAGCACTTGCCCCAACAGTCTGTTGAGGCTACGCGGACGATCTTTGTCTTTGTGTTCCCCTGCACCTTGCCCCTCTGCAGGGTGATGTTTGCAGGGTACAACGTGACGCGGCCGCCCGGGGCGATGGGGCGTTACAAGTCGATCCCCCACCACCACCGAGGGGAGGTGCAGTTCCTGGGCAGGTGAGGAGGCGACCGTGACCCCCGACCCCCTCACCCTTCCTGTGGTGGTGAAAGCCGTTATTCAACAACCTCTACGGTTGTTACGGTGGCGGTGGTAATGACGGCGGCGCTGATAGGCGTGGTGGTGGTGGTGGTGATTGGAGTGTTGGTGGTTGTTGTTGTAGTTGTGGTAGCGGTGTGCGAACCCGGCGACCCCGGTTTCGATTCCCGCTCACGGCCAACACCGGTGACGATTGTCTGAACTGTCCCTGGGCCTCCGCGAGGTCAACTCAGCCTCAAATGAGTACCTGCTGCGGTGTGTTGTGAACATCGCCACTGGGGCATGGTTGCTGGCCACGGTGCCAGTAGCCTTCATGGGTCTGCTCCTCCGCCAACAGCACTTGCCGCATCAGTTTGTTAGAGGCTACATGGGGGGGGGGGGGGGTAGGAATCTGTAGTCGTAACGTCGGTGTTGGTTGTGTGTAGCGTCAGAGTTGCTTGTGGTTGCTCAGTCCTCTTCCCCCCCTCGCCCCCCACCCTCCACCCCCACCCCCCACCCTCCACCCCCCACCAGGTACTTGCTGCTGCGCCACTCACGGGAGCGGAACGCGGTGGACGGCATCAGCAACCTGCGCTACCGGGCCCAGCGCGCCCGCACGCCGCTCTACACCAACATCACCGTCAGCCTCTCCCCCGAGCTCGCGCCGCTGCCCGCCAACTACTGACACGCGGCCCTGCGGGGTAGCAGCAGCGGGAGGAGGAGGAGGAGGGGGGGGGGCAGCAGTGGCAGGAGGAGGAGGAGGAGGGAGGGCAGCAGGAGGTGGGTGGGGGAGCGATGAGGAGAGAGACGGCGAGAAAGGGGAGTAGGAGGCCGTCTTCCCTCGCACACCGCCCACCCCTGGCGCTTGGAGCTGACCGGATTTGTGACGGTGACGGAGGAGGAGGTCAAGGAAGAGGAGAGAGAGAGACGTGGCGACTGAGATGAAGCGAGCGTCAGTCTCGCCGATGTGCGGTCATTATTTATGATGCGTTTCTGAAGTGGGCGGCGGTTGTTGTGGTGGTTGTGGTGTTTTTATCGAAGATTTTCTTTTTTATGGAATCAACGATGGACCGAGGTGGAGATGTCGGGAGGAAGACGGCAAGTCTGGGTGGGGGTGGGGTGGGTGAGGGGTGAGGAACAAAACACAAAACCACAATGAACTCCCGCGGCCCGGCCGTGCATCGGCCGGGCCGCGTCGTGCGCGCGAGAAGAAATTAAACAAAACTCTAGCCGGCACCGACCGACTGACGATCCGTGACGATCGTCCAAAAAATGGCGAGGGTGGGCGAAGGGGGGGGAGGGGGGGGGGGGCTACCCGCACATACACCCCGAAAATGGGGGGGGGGGGGGGGGGGGCGAGGTGGCTTTCACACCCCAGGAAAATGACACCCCCCCCCCCCACCCACCCACCACCTCAAATACAAGGCCCCCCCCCCCACCACCCCCACGACGCCCTGTCCCTCCTCGCCTTGGCGAAACTACTGAGCGAGCCCCGGAGAAGTCCGTGGTGGTGGCGACGGAGGGGCCGATCGGTGCGCCCGCCACGAACCACCACGGAGCGATGGCGTTGTCTCGGGCGCTTCGCCCAACGAGTGTTGTTTACGCTTGCGGGTCGTGAGCTGCCGTGCGCTTTCGCTCCGCGCGCGCGCACGCGGTTTGGATTTGTGTTGCTTGAGGAGCGGTGGCGCAGCGGTCGGCGCGCTGTGGCCGCGAACCCCGGCGGACCGAGGTTCGGTCGCACGCTCGCCGGCCACCGATGCCAGTGGCGATTGTCCGAGCCGATCCCGGCCGATTTCAGTAGCTGGTGCGCGGGGTGTAAACATCGCCACTGGGGAGACAAAGGCGGTCGGGCGTGGTGCTGGCCACCCACCCCCCTCGTGTGCCGTGCCGGCCTTCGCAGGTGCTGCTCGCTAACGGCACTTGCCCCAAAAGTCTGCTAAGGCTATTATGAGAGGGATCTTTGTCATTTGTGTGTGATTGTGCGCTGCACGTGATTGTTTGGTGTGTGTGTGATTGTACCGTGCGCGTCGTATTGTGTGCGATTCGTGGCGTGCGCTTTGTTTTGTCTGCGAGTGTGCTGTATATGTCGTAGCAATATGTGGGGGAGCGGTAGCGTAGCGGTTACCGCACTGTTCTATGGACCTGGCGACCTGAGCTCCGTTCCACGGTCGTGACTAATAACGGTGGCAAACATTTGAATCGGTCCTCGGCCGCTCCTAAATGCGTGCCTGGTTGCGGTGCGTCAACATCCACACCGGGGCAGCCACAGGCGGCCAGGCACTGTGTTGGCTACCCCTCGTGTGCCGTGCCAGCCGTCATAGGCGCTCGCTAACAGCATTTGCCCCAACAGTTTGTTAAAGGGTATACGGGGGGAGGGGGGGGATCTTTTTACCATTGTGTGTGTGTGTGCGTGATTGTTCTGTGAGTGTGGTTGTGTCACGTGGCTGCGCGTGCGCTCTGTGTAGTACGCTCAGTGCGTACTTTGCTTTTCGCAGCCTCGCAGTGCTTATGAAGCCCTTGGGGTTGAGCCGTGCTGCTGCTGCTGCGTGGGCCGCACGAGCGAGCGAGTGAGTCACCTGTGCGGGAGTGGGTGTCCGTGTGAGCTGCGTGCGAGGGGGAGAGCGAGCCGTGGAGCCTGTTTGAGAGCGGTGTGTGTGGGTGTCGTTTTTATTTTTCATGTGGCTGTTTCTGTGCCTCAATCTCGGTGATGAAACCACGAGATGGCATCTGTGCGTGCGAGTCTGTGTGCGTGCGAGCCTTCAACTCTGCATGTGATGGCCTCAAAGTGCACCTAGCTTGGCACAAGCGTTCTGTGGTGATGTCACCGCCACACAGCGGCAAAGGGCAGCTGTAGAGAACGCGAGTCGTGAGCAGTGGCAGAGTAGTGATCGCACTGTGCCGCTGCGAACCCGGCGACCCGAGTTCAATCCCTGGCCATGGCTAGCAGTCGCTCGCTAATGATATTTGAACCGGTCCTGGGCCTTGCGCAGGTTTGACCCGGCCTTTAAAAGGGGACGTGTGGTGCTGTGTGCAAGCGTTCGGCACTGGAGAAAACAAAGGCAGCATGGCGGTTTACTGCCCCACGCCGTCGCCTTCCGTGCCATCATTCCGGCCTTCGTAGCCTGCTCGCTGAGCGGCAATTGCCACCCCTCTCTCACGTCCCCCCTCCCCCCCCACCACCAACAGTCTCCGAGGGGCTTACCCCAAGGGGGATGCGAGTGAGCGAGTGTGCGAGTGAGTTTACCTGCGAGCATCTCTTGCGCGTACCGAGCGAGCGATTTAAAAAAAATGTGTCTCCATATGTGAATGAGCGCGCGCGTGTGAATGAGCGCGCGCGCGCGTGTAAATGAGCGCGCGCGCGCGTGTGTGAATGAGCGCGCGCGCGCGCGTGTGAATGAGCGCGCGCGCGCGCGTGTGAATGAGCGCGCGCGCGCGCGTGTGAATGAGCGCGCGCGCGCGCGTGTGAATGAGCGCGCGCGCGCGTCCATCGTCGGGACGATGTAGCGTGCACTCTCTTCGCTCCGGAAACGCGTCGTCTGCCGAGGGGAGGAGCGATGTGGCCGGGGCGCGTGTTTTATAATCTGCGGCCATTTACCTGTCCTTATTTAATTTTACCTTTGTACATAAATGCCTTTTTGGTTCTAAATGCCCTCCCCGACCCCACCCCGTGCCTCACCCACAGCCCTCCACGAACACCACATACCTCCTACGCCCTTCAGTGCTGTCCACTGCAGGCGAGCTCACCTTAGGCTCGTGCGTGTGCCCTATGTCCCCCGGTGAGATCGCCTGGGATCAGGTCGCTTCCAGGTGAGCGTACCCGCAGGGCCGCTGTGTGCTCTGGATGTGCTTGCGGAAAGTGGCCAGCACTGTGTCCTCTAGCACAGAGGGACACCCCCCCCCCTACCCTCTGACTCACCAGGGCTGTGACCCCCCGCAACATCTGACCTTGACCCCAGATGCCCCGTGGCTCATGGGAACACGAGATTATCTGCATCTCGTGCTCCTCTGGGCTTGAGCTTCGAGCCTCGGGTTCGAATCGTGGCTTCCGGGTTTCTATTGCGGCTTGATGTTGAGCCACCCTGGTTAGTGAGCCCTTGGGTTTGATAACTGGATTTTGAGATTTGGGATCGAGACCTGAAGCATAGCTGGGTTTCAGACCTGAGATTGGGTTTGAGACCTGGGACCTGGGTTTCTCACCTGGGAACCTGGGTTTGAGACCTGGGTTTCACACCTGGATTTCACACCTGAGACTTGGGTTTGAGACTTGGGTTTGAAACTTGGGTTTCAGACCTGAGGCCTGGGTTTGAGGCCTGGGTTTGAGACCTGGGTTTGAGGCCTGGGTTTCAGACCTGGGTTTCACACCCGAGACCTGGGTTTCTCACCTTGGGACCTGGGTTTGAGACCTGGGTTTGAGGCCTGGGTTTCTCACCTGGGACCTGGGTTTGAGGCCTAGGTTTCACACCTGAGGCCCGGGTTTCACACCTGAGACCTGGGTTTCTCACCTTGGGACCTGGGTTTGAGGCCTGAGTTTGAGACCTGGGTTTGAGACCTGGGTTTCTCACCTTGGGACCTGGGTTTGAGGCCTGAGTTTGAGACCTGGGTTTGAGGCCTGGGTTTCTCACCTGGGACCTGGGTTTGAGGCCCGGGTTTCACACCTGAGACCTGCATTTGAGGCCTGGGTTTGAGACCTGGGTTTGAGGCCTGGGTTTCACACCTGAGGCCCGGGTTTGAAAGCTGGGCTCCTCCTTCAGGTCGCAGGTTGCACTGTGGAGGTCGGGGTGGGGCACGGCGAGGGTCAACGCGATCGCCCTCTTTTTACTTTGCGGTTTAATTCGTGACTATGGCGGCGGGTCGGCGATGATGTTTCGCGACGATGTTGATATAATAATTCATGACGTTGGCGATTATGATAACGCGAATTTCCACAAACTGTCGGTACTAACCCCCACCCACCCACCCCTGCATTTGTTTACATGATCTACTGTTCCACCTTATTCACTATGGACAACACTCCGTGTCGGGGGAGGGGGAGGGGGGGGTGATCCATGCCCGCCCGCCCCCCCGCAAGATCCCCACTTAGGCCGGACACTGACCTCTAAACCTCACCGCTGTGTAATCTAATCCGCGTGGTTTCATTACCGATGTACGGTGACTGGGGATCGAACTGGGATCCTAAGGGCAGGGGTCAGAAGGGCAGCGTTCCTCCCCTTACCCCCCCTCCCTGACTACCACCAAAGCCCCAATGAAGAGAGGCACTGGCCCCCTCTGATGGAGCTGTGTTGTGTTGTGCCCCGCTAGTATTGCTGCGTGTGTACATGCGTAGTGTGCGCGCGCGCTATGCGGACACGTGTTGCCTCTGCCCGCGCTATGCGAACATGCGTGTGTTGCCTGTACGCTCTCTATGCGGACACGTGTTGCCTCCGCGCGCTATGCGGACACGCCTGTTGCCTGTACGTGGGCTGTGTGTGTATTGGGTGCAGTATATATGTTGTGTGTGTGTGCAGTGTGCAGCTTTATACATTCAGGACATTTTCTGTCAATCCACTGCCGGATGAGAGACACCTCCTCCGCCCTCCCACGCTGGGCAGGTCGTGGGAATTGATTTGGAGGCCGCAGTTTGACCAACACTCGTGGTCAGTGAGGGGGTCGGTCAAGGAGCAGCGGCCACATTGGCCAACTTCTGCTGAAATCAAACTTGTTTATGATTCTAGATTTGAAGCTTTCGTGACTGCAAGGATTCATATTCTTAGGTTTTTTTTCCGGTAAAGTCACGTAGGTAAAAAATTTAAATTAATAAAAGTTAAATTAAAATAAAATAAAAATCACGACGTTTCGGAGGCAACACAAGCTTCCGTCTTCAGGTGGAACCATCACTTGATACAGCTGTCGTGCTGTGACGGTTCCACCTGAAGATGGAAGCTTGTGTTGCCTCCGAAACGTCGTGATTTTTATTTTATTTATATTTTACTTTTATACATTTTTATTTTTTATGGGCTTTTTTTACCAGCTAACGGTCCGCCGGGCTCGTGCGGCTGATTTTTTTCAGAAGCGACGTTGGCCACAAATCATCGCTCGACGAAATTGGCGGCCCATCATCGCCGCCGCGTGCAAACGCACAGCAGCCAAATACTCCTAAAAAACGCGTGACCTCGATTCCTCGATGTATGAAGGGCAAACCCGGAGGACCAGGGGGAGAATCAACGTGTGACCACGGGGATGAAATGCAAACTCCGGTTAGGGGCAGGTCGGACAACAAACAATACAAAAATAAAACGATATTTTGTACAGCAGGCGCCAGGGTCCGGATCAAACCCACGGACCTCCTGCGTACCAGGCGAGGGAGTTAACATCTCGTCAGCGCGGCGCCTCTACCGCTGGTCCGTAACGTAGCCGTGAAGCGGTCTACACCGCCTGTTGCATTGCACCATTCACGCGCGTGCAAGAGCTGCTTCCAGGCTTGGCACATGCTTAGCTTCGCTTGGCTTTTGAGATTCAAATTCAGGGGGTGATGTAGGTCGCAATTAGCCCGGGATACACGTGGCGAGTCGCGTGCGTAAGAATCACGCCACCCCACAGCAGACACACCACCACAATCACACCGCGACAAGCACTGCGCACCACCACAATCACACCAACACATCACACCACAACAATTAATGCACAACACCACAATCACAACGCACCAAACACTGCACAACACCGCCACAATCACGCCACCATAATCACTGCGCACTACCACCATCACACCACACCAATCCAATCACTGCACACCACCACAATAACACCACACCACACCAATCAGTGCACACCACCACCACAATAACACCACACTACACAAATCAGTGCACACCACCACAATTACACCACACCACACCAATCACTGCACACCACCACGATCGCACCACACCAATCGGTGCGCACCACCACAATAACACCACACTACACCAATCACACCACACCACCATCATCACACTACACCAATCACACCACACCACCACCACAATAACACCACACTACACCAATCACACCACACCACCACAATTACACCACCACACCAATCACACCACACCACAACAATCACACCACCACCACAATAACACCACACTACACCAATCACTGCACACCACCACGATCGCACCACACTACACCAATCACTGCACACCACCACAATCACCCCTACACCAATCACTGCACACCACCACAATAACACGACACTACACAAATCAGTGCATACCACCACGATCGCACCACCCCACACCAATCACTGCACACCACCACAATCACCCCTACACCAATCAGTGCGCACCACCACAATAACACCACACTACACCAATCACACCACACTACACCAATTACTGCACCCCATCATCATCACACTACACCAATCACTGCACACCACCACCAATCACCCCTACACCAATCAGTGCGCACCACCACAATAACACCACACTACACCAATCACACCACACTACACAAATTACTGCACCCCATCATCATCACACTACACCAATCACTGCACACCACCACAATCACCCCTACACCAATCAGTGCGCACCACCACAATAACACCACACTACACCAATCACACCACACTACACCAATTACTGCACCCCATCATCATCACACTACACCAATCACTGCACACCACCACAATCACCCCTACACCAATCAGTGCGCACCACCACAATAACACCACACTACACCAATCACACCACACTACACCAATTACTGCACCCCATCATCATCACACTACACCAATCACTGCACACCACCACCAATCGCCCCATTCAGGACACACCACACCAATCACTGAACCCCACCACGATCACACCACCCCAATCACTGCACACCACCACAATCACCCCTACACCAATCAGTGCGCACCACCACAATAACACCACACTACACCAATCACACCACACTACACCAATTACTGCACCCCATCATCACACTACCCCAATCACTGCACACCACCACCAATCGCCCCATTCAGGACACACCACCCCAATCACTGCACACCGCGACCGCACACCACCTCGAGGTGGTCGGAACCAGCCGGGTCGATTTTCGTTTCGCGTGCCATTCTCGACGTCACGTGGCCCGTTGCGGCCGCCAGAGGGCGCTGCATTTGCCAGCTTGTTATTATTGCTGCTGCTGCTGCTGTTGTTGTTGTTGTGGTATCGAATTACGACATTTAATCGAATCAACAGGGTTCCGAGTCGTTACATCCCCTGAGTTCGACACTCTGCAGTGGTACAAAGGAGCTAATTTAATGAAAGAGGCCAAGCGCCGGTCTCGGGTCGTGGTGAAGGGTGCGTATTTACAGCGCTCCGAATAGTGGAGAGCGTGGGTCAGTTTAGGGGGTCTGAATGAGTTCAGGCTGAGATTGACGGCAGCTGTGTGTCTCTTGTGTCACTGTGTGTGTCTGTGTGTCACTGTCTCTGTGTGTCTCTTGTGTCACTGTGTGTGTGTCACTGTGTGTGTCTCTGTGTGTCTCTTGTGTCACTGTGTGTGTCTGTGTGTCACTGTCACTGTGTCTCTGTGTCACTGTGTGTCTTTGTGTCACTGTGTGTGTGTCTCTTGTGTCACTGTGTGTGTGTCACTGTGTGTGTCTTTGTGTCACTGTGTGTGTGTCTCTTGTGTCACTGTGTGTGTGTCTCTGTGTGTCACTGTGTGTGTCTGTGTGTCACTGTCACTGTGTGTCTCTGTGTCTTTGTGTCACTGTGTGTGTCACTGTGTGTGTGTCTCTTGTGTCACTGTGTGTCTCTTGTGCCACTGTGTGTGTCACTGTGTGTGTCTGTGTGTCACTGTCACTGTGTGTCTCTGTGTCTCTGTGTCTTTGTGTCACTGTGTGTGTCTCTGTGTCACTGTGTGTGTGTGTGTCACTGTCACTGTGTGTCTGTGTGTCACTGTGTGTGTGTCTCTGTGTGTTTTGTGTCACTGTGTGTCTTTGTGTCTCTGTGTGTCTCTCTGTCACTGTGTGTCTCTGTGTGTCTCTGTGTCACTGTGTGTGTGTGTGTCTCTGTGTGTCTCTTGTGTGTCACTGTCACTGTGTGTCTCTGTGTGTCTCTGTGTGTGTCACTGTGTGTGTCTCTGTGTGTGTCTCTGTGTGTCTCTGTGTCACTGTGTCTTTGTGTCACTACGGGGAGCGGTGGTGCAGCGGTTAGCGCTGCGAACCCGGCGACCCGAGTTCCATTCCCGCTCGCGGCCACCAACACCGGTGACGATTATCTGAACCGGTCCTGGGGCCTCCCCTAGGTCGACTCGGCCTCAAATGAGTACCTGGTATGGTATATAAACATCACCAGTGGGGAGACAAAGGCGGCCGGGCGTGGTGTTGGCGGCCGGGCGTGGTGTTGGCCACCCACCCCCTCGTGCGCCGTGGAAGCCTTCATAGGTGCTCGCTAACAGCACTTGCCCCAACAGTCTGAGGCTATACGTGGGTTGGGGGCATCTTTGTCTTGTCTGTGTGTCACTGAATCTCGCCACCCGTTTTGTCGTGCGGGGCGGGGGGGCGCGACCCTCCCTGCTGCAGCGCCACGGGGCTCGCGTTTGAATCGCCTGTGAAATAGACGGGACGTGAATCCCAAAATCAACAGCGGTCTCGTGTCCTCGTGTGAGTTCAATTGCCGTGGTGATCGGCGGCTGCCGGTGCAAACCCGGGCCGCGATGTGCGGAAGAAGCTACAGAACCCGTGGCAAAGTAGCGCCCCACGAACGCACGCGCCGTGACCACCACGCCGGACTACGCCGTTCCCACCGCACCAACCACACCGCACCAACCACACCGCACCAACCACACTATGCACACCACACCAACCAAACCGGACTACACCATGCACGCCGCACGAACCATAGCGTACCACACCGTGCACACCACATCAACCACACAACACCAACCACACCACATCAACCACATCAACCACATCACATCAACCACATCACATCAACCAACCACACCAACCACATCACATCAACCACATCACATCAACCAACCACATCAACCACACCAACCACATCAACAACAACATCAACCACACCACATCAACAAAACACATCAAACACATCAACCACATCAACCAACCACATCAACCACACCAACCACACCAACCACACCAACCACATCAACAACAACATCAACCACACCACATCAACCACATCAACCAACCACAACAACATCAACCAACCACATCAACAACATCAACAACACCAACCACATCAACCACACCAACCACATCAACCACACAAACCACATCAATCGCATCAACCACATCAATCACATCAACAACATCAACCACATCAACAACATCAACCACATCAACCACATCAACCACACCACATTAACCACACCACATTAACCACATCAACAACATCAACCACCCCACATCAACCGCACCATGCACACCAACCACATCAACCACATCAACCACATCAACCACCCCACATCAACCGCACCATGCACACCACCAATCGCACCGAACTCCATCGAGACGGCATCATGCGCACCACACCAACTGCTCCATCCCATCTCGGGTGGTGGTTGGGTCACACAACAAACACTGAGGCTGCTCACTCCAGCGATGGCAACGTCGTTTATTACCGGTTTAGAGCGACGTGGTGTGGTATGTTTCGTCTATTGTGTGGTGCGGTGCGTTGTCCAGGTGTGGTTGAGATGGTGCGTGTGTGTGTGGTGATGTGTGGCTCTGTACGGTGTGGTTGGGATGGCGTGTGTGTGTGTGTGTGGTGTGTAGTCTAGGTGTGGTTGAGATGGTGTGTGTGTGTGTGGTGCAGTGTGTAGTCCCCTCTCCCTCGGGGGGGGGGGGGGGTCGTTCAGGGGCACGGGACCCTATTGTGGCCCCATGGGGGAGGGGGAGCCTTGGGGGTAGTTCAGTGTCCCTCTGCGTCTCCCACGATGGCGCCTGTTGCGTAGAAGTATGGGCTAAGCAGCATAGGGATGTGGTAGTGCTTGTGTCCCGCGTCGTGAGCCATGAACACCACCTTGGGGGAGGGGTGGGGGGGGGCAGGTGAGAACTCTCGTATGCAAAAGCGAGTGAATGAATGGGCGAGTGAATGGGTGTGTGGGTGAGAGTGAATGATTGAATGGGTGATTGAATGGGCGAGTGAATTATTTAATGGGTGAATGAATGGGTGTGTGGGTGAATGATTGAACGGGTGTGTGGGTGAGTCAGTGAATTTGTGTGTGGGTGAGTGAATGAATTAGCGAGTGAATGTGTGTGTGGGTGAGAATGAATGAATGGGATAAGTGAATGATTGAATGAGTGGGTGAGAGTGAGTTATTGAATGGGTGAGTGAATTAATGGGCCAGTGAGTGAAGGGTGTGTGTGTGAGTGAATGATTGAATGGGGCGAGTGTGTGGGTGAGAGTGAATGAATTAGTGAGTGAATGGGTGTGTGGGTGAGAGTGAATTAGTGAGTGAATGGGTGTGTGGGTGAGAGTGAATGAATTAGTGAGTGAATCGGTGTGTGGGTGAGAGTGAATGAGTGAGTGAATTTGTGTGGGTGAGAGTGAATTAATTAGTGAGTGAATGGGTGTGTGGGTAAGAGCTGAATGAATGGGTAAGTGAATGATTCAATGAGTGTGTGGGTGAGAGTGAATTAGTGAATGGGTGTGTGGGTGAATGAGTGAATTTGTGTGGGTGAGTGAATGGGTGTGTGGGTGTGCGTGAATGATTGGGTGAGTGAATGGGTGTGTGGGTAAGAGCTGAATGAATGGGTAAGTGAATGATTGAATGAGTGTGTGGTTGAGAGTGAATTATTGAATGGGTGAGTGAATGAATGGGCGACCGAGTGAAGGGTGTGTGTGTGAGTGAATGATTGAATGGGGCGAGTGTGTGGGTGTGAGTGAGTGAGTGAATGGGTGATTAAGTGGGTGGGTGGCAGGACGATTGGGTGGGTTATTGATTTGAGTGGGTGGTCAATTCAAGTTGATGTTTGTTGAACCAGGGTGAGAATGCAAGAGGTCAGGGTAGATGTCTCATTTGCAGAGGTGGGACAAAGTCATTGTCATGCAAGTCCAAGTCGAGTCTGAAGTCATCAAATTCATGACTCGAGTCTGACTCGAGTCCAAGTCACATGACTCGAGTCCACACCTCTGCTCATTTGCAACGGTGACCTGACCCTGGACGGGGTGGGGGGGAGTCACCCAAAATGGCAAAAGCTCCACAAAATAAAATGTAAGGAATTAAGGAAAGATAAATTGAAGTTTAAAAAAACCTAATCGCCGTGTCGTCTCGCTTGAGAGACGAGGAATACTGCACGGACATCAACCACCGTTAAGTTGAAAATACATTACTTTCAGGAACTAATAAACGTGCATGTTCCATCAAGGTCCTTTCAAAGACGATGATATTGATGGTTGTGATGTTGATGGAGATGGTGGTGATGTTGATGGTGGTGATGGTGGTGATGTTGATGGTGTTGATGTTGATGGTGTTGATGGTGTTGATGGTGTTGATGGTGTTGATGGTGGTGGTGGTGTTGATGCTGTTGATGGTGTTGATGTTGTTGATGGAGATAGTGATGGTGGTGATGTTGATGGAGATGGTGGTGATGTTGATGGTGTTGATGTTGATGGTGTTGGTGTTGATGGTGGTGGTGGTGTTAATGGTGGTGGTGTTGATGGTGTCGATGGTGTTGATGATGTTGATGATGTGTGTTGATGTATGTTGATGGTGTTGATGGTGGCGATGTTGATGATGTTGATGATGTTGATGATGTGTGTTGATGTGTGTTGATGGTGGCGATGTTGATGATGTTGATGATGTTGTTGATGGTGGCGATGTTGATGATGTTGATGTTGTTGATGGTGTTGATGGTGTTGATGTTGGCGATGTCACCACCCACCTCGGCCGCTTCGTGGAAGGGCGTGATGCCGGCCTTGGTCCAGTAGGCCTGCGTGTCGAAGCGCACCTTGTAGGTCCCCTCCGTGAAGTCCTTGTCGCCGATGAGATGGTGAGACTCGCCCGTCTTACCCGTCACCCTGACGGGGGAGCAAGACGAGGGGGGGGGGGGGGGGGGGAGGTGAGGCCACGCACTTTTAAACCAATTATTTCAATCGTTCACACGCACACACTCACTTACTCTTTGGTTCTTTCGATAAAGTCACGTCGGTATAAAAGAAAATAAATAACGACGTTTCGGGCGCAACACAAGCGTCCGTCGTCAGGTGTGTTGCGCCCGAAACGTCGTGATTTTATTAATTTTCTACCCACGTGACTTTACCGAAAGAACCAAAGAGTATGGATTCCTGCAGTCACGAAAGCTTCAAATCGAGATTAATATTCACTTACTCGTTCACTCTTGCCACTCGCCCGCCCAGCCAATGATTCACCAAATCGTTCGCTCAATCACTCGCCAGCTCGCTCTTGCCGCTCACCCACTCACCCACCCGCCCAATCGCTCGCTCACTCACTCACTCGCTCACTCTTGCCGCTCACCCACTCATCCACCCGCCCAATCGCTCACCTAATCCTTCACTCGTTCACTCGCTCGCTCACTCTTGCCGCTCACCCACTCATCCACCCGCCCAATCGGTCACCTAATCCTTCACTCGTTCACTCGCTCGCTCACTCTTGCCGCTCACCCACTCATCCACCCGCCCAATCGCTCACCTAATCCTTCACTCGTTCACTCGCTCGCTCACTCTTGCCGATCACCCACTCATCCACCCGCCCAATCGCTCACCTAATCCTTCACTCGTTCACTCGCTCGCTCACTCTTGCCGCTCACCCACTCATCCACCCGCCCAATCGCTCACCTAATCCTTCACTCGTTCACTCGCTCGCTCACTCTTGCAAGTGAGACCGAGACCCGGGTCTCTCTCTCGAGTTCTCAAATCAAACTTTTAAGTAAAAGATACTGGGTGTGGATCGAGTTGGTGGGGGTGGGGGGGTGTTGGTGGGCAGGGGGGGGGGGGTTGGTGGGCAGAAGTTGGGGGGGGGGGGGGTTGGTGGGCAGCAGTAGTTGGGGGTGGGGGGGGGGTCAGCTCTACTCACCCGGTGGCCACCTCCTTCCAGGAGCCGTCCTCCTGCTTCTTCATCACGCTGAGTTTCACTCCGGCCGCGGGCTTCCCTCGCACCGAGTCGATCGCCTTCACCATGAGCGGGCACGAGTCCTTGACGCCACCCTCGTGCGATTCGTGGCTTTTGTGATCCTGAGCCCGGGACGCGCACGCGCACTGGCTGTTAGCGATTGGTCAACCCGTGCCCCTTTATACATCTCAACGTCCATCCTGTACACTAAACTACGGTATACACTACATTATACACTACGTTATACACTACATTGTACACTACATTATACACTACGTTATACACTACATTGTACACTCCACGACACGATGCACTACGTTACTAAATAGCTGTCAACCCCTTATCTGTGCCCCACCATGTTACAGACCAATTCAGACACTTATTTATCAGCCCGTGCCCCTTATAGATATCATTCTACAAGATCCCATCACACAAGGGGGGACACAAACAAATATAAATACAATTGTTGTCCGTATTGGAACGGCTGTACGCCGTATGGAGCTGAAAACTCAATTTCCCTGTACAAAAATACGGGGTAAACCGTATAGGTTGATAGGTATACTACTATACACCACTACTATGCATTATACACTACACTACTATACACTACACTAATATACACTACACTACTATACACTACACTACGATACACCACTACTATGTACTATACACCACTACTATGCACTATACACTACTATGCACTACACTACACACTACACAACACACTACACAACTATACACCACTACTATGCACTACACTATACACTACACTACTATACACTACACTACTATGCACTACACTACACAACACACTACACTACTATACACCACTACTATGCACTACACTACTATGCACTACACTACACACTACACAACACACTACACTACAATACACCACTGCTATGCACTACACTATACACTACACCACTATGCACTACACTACTATACACTACACTACTATACACTTTAAAATACACTCCACTACTATACACTACACACTACACTATACACTCCACTACTATACACTACACACTACACTATACACTACACTACTATACACTACACACTACACTATACACTCCACTCCTATACACTACACACTACGCTCTACTACTATACACTACACTATACACTCCACTATACACTCCACTACTATACACTACACACTACACTATACACTCCACTACTATACACTACACTATACACTCCACTATACACGCCACTACTATACACTACACACTACACTATACACTCCACTACTATACACTACACTACACACTACACTATACACTCCACTATACACTCCACTACTATACACTCCACTACTATACACTACACTATACCATCATCATCATCATGGCTTGGCTTCGCGAACGAAGATCTAGGAAGGACATCCACGTCTTCTGCAGGCACGCTGGTGGCTGAAGAGGCCTATGCGGGACAAGCAGGTCCTGCCACAACAGCTGCAAGTGAAGGTCTCATCTGGGATGGGTGCTGAGGGATCATGGTTCTTCCTCCTTCTCCTTTTGTCCTCCATTCGGGCCCTGCGGGTATCTTCGAAGAAGGAGGTGGCCTGGTGGACTGTGTGCCGCCAGGAGTTGCGATCAGCTGCTTGTGTTTCCCACTGACGGTGATCGATGCAGCAAGCAGTGAGGGACTTCTTCAGGGAGTCTTTGTATCGCTTTCGTGGTGCCCCTATGTCGCGATGGCCAGAGGACAGTTCCCCATACAGCACGATCTTAGGCAAGCGGTGGTTCTCCATCCTGGCGATGTGCCCTGCCCAACGAAGCTGTGTCTTGAGGACCATGGCCTCGATGCTGATGACCTTCGCTGACTTGAGGACTTCAGTGTTGGCGACGAAGTCACTCCAGTGAATATTGAAGATTTTGCGGAGGCAGCGCTGATGGAAACGCTCGAGGAGACTCAGGTGACGACGGTACGTGACCCAGGACTCAGCGTAGTGTACTATACACTACACTATACACTACACTACTATACACTACACACTACATAACGTCACGAAGCCGTCTGGAACGCTCTCTTCCTTCCGATGTTGAGAGGCGACTGGGAGCCGTGCGCTTTTAAAGTCATCATCTCGGTCGACACACTCGTTTCTTTAGATCTAATTCTGTTGTTGTTGTGTCTAGTTGTTGTTGTGTCTAGTTGTTGTTGTGTCTAGTTGTTGTTGTGTCTAGTTGTTGTTGTGTCTAGATTGTTGTTGTTGTGACTAGTTGTTGTTGTGTCTAGTTGTTGTTGTGGTGGTGTCTAGTTGTTGCTGTTGTTGTTGTGTCTAGTTGTTGTGGTGTCTAGTTGTTGTTGTGGTGTTTAGTTGTTGTTGTGTCTAGATTGTTGTTGTTGTGTCTAGATTGTTGTTGTTGTGTCTAGTTGTTGTTGTGTCTAGTTGTTGTTGTGGTGTCTAGTTGTTGCTGTTGTTGTTGTGTCTAGTTGTTGTGGTGTCTAGTTGTTGTTGTTGTGTCTAGTTGTTGTTGTGTCTAGTTGTTGTTGTGTCTAGATTGTTGTTGTTGTGACTAGTTGTTGTTGTGTCTAGTTGTTGTTGTGGTGGTGTCTAGTTGTTGCTGTTGTTGTTGTGTCTAGTTGTTGTGGTGTCTAGTTGTTGCTGTGGTGTTTAGTTGTTGTTGTGTCTAGATTGTTGTTGTTGTGTCTAGATTGTTGTTGTTGTGTCTAGTTGTTGTTGTGTCTAGTTGTTGTTGTGGTGTCTAGTTGTTGCTGTTGTTGTTGTGTCTAGTTGTTGTGGTGTCTAGTTGTTGTTGTTGTGTCTAGTTGTTGTTGTGTCTAGTTGTTGTTGTGTCTAGATTGTTGTTGTTGTGTCTAGTTGTTGTTGTGTCTAGTTGTTGTTGTGGTGTCTAGTTGTTGCTGTTGTTGTTGTGTCTAGTTGTTGTGGTGTCTAGTTGTTGTTGTGGTGTTTAGTTGTTGTTGTGTCTAGATTGTTGTTGTGTCTAGATTGTTGTTGTTGTGTCTAGTTGTTGTTGTGTCTAGTTGTTGTTGTGGTGTCTAGTTGTTGCTGTTGTTGTTGTGTCTAGTTGTTGTGGTGTCTAGTTGTTGTTGTGGTGTTTAGTTGTTGTTGTGTCTAGATTGTTGTTGTTGTGTCTAGATTGTTGTTGTTGTGTCTAGTTGTTGTTGTGTCTATTTGTTGTTGTGGTGTCTAGTTGTTGCTGTTGTTGTTGTGTTTAGTTGTTGTGGTGTCTAGTTGTTGTTGTGGTGTCTAGTTGTTGTTGTGCCTAGATTGTTGTCCTCCCCCCCCCACCCCCCCGCACCTACGGCGAGCGTGGTTGGCTTACGTACGGCGCGAAAGAAGTTTAACAAACATGAACGACCATTCATTCGTGCCCAAACGCGCAACTACAGCACAGACTGCCGCCCATCGCTCAGTGGCGGAGATGTCACCACGACGCTTGTACCATGCTAGGTGCACACGCACACACACACAGACACACAAAGACAAAGATCCCCCGTACAGCCTGCAACAGACTTTTGGGGCAAGTGCCGTCCGCGAGCGGCATCCGTGACACGATCGGCCGGGCGGGTGGCCAACACCACGCCCGGCCGCCTTTGTCTCCCCAGCGGCGATGTTTCACACACCGCACCGGGTACTCATTTAAGGCTGAGTCGACCTAGAGGGGATCGCCTGGGCCCGTTTGACAGCGCGGCGCAGCGCTGTCAACCGCTCCCCCCACGCGCACAACCCCCACGGATGATGAAGTGGAGGTGAGTCCGCTTGGGTGAGTGATGAGGTGTGATGAGGAGGGGGAGGAGGAGGAGGTAGCGACGGCGTGGTCAGAAGGAGGTCTGGGGGATTGGTGAAGTGAGAGGAAGAGGTGAGAGGAGGGGCGGTGGGAGCGATCGCAGAGGCGAGGAGAGGCGAGGGATGAGGGTTGCGCATTGAGGAGGTGATGACCGGCGCGGTGGGGATGGCCGATGAGGAGGTGATGACGGGCGCGTTGAATTTCTTTCGCGCCGTACGTCGCCAACACCGCGCCAGCGAGAGACGCGGTCGGCTACGTACGGCGCGAAAGAAGTCCGGCATGCACACGAAGGTGGTCACGGGAGGTGGTTTGGGTGGTGATGGCGACGACGACGATGATGATGATGTGCACTTAATTATAGATTTGAAGCTTTCGTGACTGCAAGGATTCATATTTTTAGGTTTTTTTCGGTAAAGTCACGTAGGTAAAAAATTTAAATAAATAAAAGTAAAATAAAAAAAAAATCACGACGTTTCGGAGGCAACACAAGCTTCCGTCTTCAGGTGGAACCGTCACAGCTTAAGACGAAAGCTTGTTGCCCCCGAAACGTCGTGATTTTTTATTTTACTTTCATTAATTTTAATTGTATTTTTTTACCTACGTGACTTTACCGATAAAACCGAAGAAGAAGGTGTGCACTTACATCATCAGCCCTGCAGAGGAGCGAGCTGGACGCGACCAAGACCAGGAGACACAGGAACCTCGTCATGATGATGACGATGCGGACGAGGAGGAGGAGTGGTGATCAGTGTGAGGAGGATGAGGATGATGAGGCGGAGAGGGGAGGTCCCCTGCTTTTTATTCGCTCCACTCTGGCTGAGGCAGCGAAATCACGGAGTCAATTGTTGACTCGGTGGTGGGTCAACAGTGGGGCAGGGGGGGGGAGAAACACACCGAGATACACACACTGACACACACACACTGACACACACACTGACACACACACACACTGACACACACACACTGACACACACTGAGACACACACACTGACACACACACTGACACACACACACACTGACACACACTGAGACACACACACTGACACACACACACTGACACACACTGACACACACACACTGACACACACACACTGACACACACACACTGACACACACTGACACACACACACTGACACACACACTGACACACACACACTGACACATTGATACACACACTAACACATTGATACACACACACTGACACACACACTGACACATTGATACACACACTGACGACAGCTGTATCACTTGATACAACTATCGTGCTGTGACGGTTCCACCTGAAGACGGAAGCTTGTGTTGCCTCCGAAACGTCGTGATTTTTATTTTATTTTTAATTTTACTTTTATTAATTTTATTTTTTCACCTACGTGACTTTATCGAAAAAACCTAAGAATATGAATCCTTGCAGTCACGAAAGCTTCAAATCTAGAATTAAGACACATGTATACCTGATGCGATCTAACCCCCCCCCCAAACCCCCCCAAATGAAGATGCCTGCGCAGAGATTGCGAAGAGACGATCGGACGAGGATGAGAAGCACACGGCTCTCATTCGCCCTGCGCTGGACTTCTTTCGCACCGTACGTCGACAACCGTGGACGCTCATCGCAAGTGCCGGGGTGATGGGAGCTGCACGCGGCAATAGGGGCACCGCCACGGCCGCCACAACTTGCCACAACTTGTCACGATTTGCCACAAGTTGCCACGAGTTGCCACAAGTTGCCACGAGTTTCCGCAACTTGTCACGAGTTTCCGCAACTTGCTACAAGTTGCCAAAACCTGCCACGACTTTCCACGACTTGCCACAACTTTCCACAACTTGCCACGACTTGCCACGAGTTACCACGAGTTGCCATGAGTTGCCACAACTTGCCACGAGCTTCCACGACTTGCCACAACTTTCCACAACTTGCCACGACTTGCCACGAGTTTCCGCAACTTGCCACGACTTGCCACAACTTTCCACAACTTGCCACGACTTGCCACGACTTGCCACAACTTGCCACAACCTGCCACGACTTGCCACGAGTTTCCACGACTTGCCACAATTTGCCACGAGTTGCCACGAGTTGCCAACAATAAATGCTCAACGAAGTGGCTCATCATCATCATCACGTGGAAATGTACAGCAGCCAAATACTCTAAACGCGTGATGTTGATTCTAAATGTGGAGGGAAAAACCGGAGGACCCAGAGAAAAATCCACGCGACCACGGGAAGAGAGACACCGCAAACTCCAAATATACAGCAGCAGGCGTCAGGGTCGGGATTGAACCCACAACCTCCTCCATACCAGGCGAGGTAGTTAACATCTCCTAGCCACCGTGATGATGATGAGAGAGAGAGAGAGAGACACGCAAACTCCAAATATACAGCAGCAGGCGTCATCAGGGTCGGGATCGAACCCACGTCCTCCTGCATACCAGGCGAGGTAGTTAACATCTCCTAGCCACCGTGATGATGATGAGAGAGACACGCAAACTCCAAATATACAGCAGCAGGTGTCATCGGGGTCGGGATCGAACCCACGACCTCCTGTACACCAGGCGAGGTAGTTAACATCTCCTAGCCACCTGTGATGATGCCGCCTCCGTGCATGTGACTCGTGCTTAGAGTCGTTCTCTATCGAGTCGTTCTCTATCGAGTCGTTCTCTATCGAGTCGTTCTCTCTGTGTTCCACGACTCTGGTCTCGGTTGGTGACTCACCGGATGTAGTTGTTACGTGTTTCCATTTGGGTGAAATAACGGGCGATGCATAGGCGGACACAGAGGGTTGACCATGTCAGATTTGCGGTTCGGGTCAAGTGGACGCCCTGGGTAATACTGCTCGACAACATTCGTCAGTTACACAGTGTGCCCGGAAAAGGGAGACGCATAATATAACAGGCGACGTTTCGGGAAATGACCCTGGATGGTGCGTCGTTTGGGTTGCACGCCAACAATGGCACTCATGTGGCTTGCTATTACATTATCACCGTGCGTCCTTATGTGTCTCTATGTGTATCTATGTGCCTCTAGGTATCTCTATGTGTCTCTATCAGTCTCTATGTATATATATATATGTGTCTCTATGTGTCTATATGTGTCTCTATGTATCTCTATGTGTCTCTGTGTGCCTCTAGGCATCTCTATGTGTCTCTAGCAGTCTATATGTTTATCTATGCGTCTCTATGTGTCTCTATGTATCTGTATGGGCCTCCATGTGTCTCTATGTGTCTCTATGTATATATATGTGTCTCTATGTGTCTATATGTGTCTCTATGTATCTCTATGTGTCTCTGTGTGCCTCTAGGTATCTCTATGTGTCTCTAGCAGTCTATATGTTTATCTATGTGTCTCTATGTATCTGTATGGGCCTCCATGTGTCTCTATGTGTCTCTATGTATATCTCTGTGTCTCTAGGTATCTCTATGTGTATCTATGTGTATCTATGTGTCTTTATGTATCTATATGGGCCTCTATGTGTCTCTGTGTGCCTCTAGGTATCTCTATCTGTCTCTATGTGTCTCTATGTATCTCTATGTGTCTCTATTAGTCTCTATGTATATCTACGGTTCTTTACGTACCTCGATGGGTTTGCCAGATACGGCTCGCATAGCCACAGCGAGGCTACTGGACTCTGATTGTTTTGCACGTTTTTTGTTCTCCCATTAAAACATTTCTGCCGATGTCCGCGCCCCCCCCCCGCGCCCCCCCCCCCGCGGCCCCCCCCCCGCGCCCCCCCCCCCCCCCGCGGCCCCCCCTCATGGGGCGAGCGAATTCCCTGCGCCACCCACTCGCCCCTTGTCGCTTTTCTGTGTCAATTCTGCATCAGCACTCCGCACTTTTCGCCGACTTCGCAAAATTCTGGGCTTGGCTGGGGCTGGGGGGGGTGGGGGCTGGGGGAGGGGGGCGAGAGAGGGAGGGGCGGGGTGATGGGGGAGGTCACCTTATCAGCCCCCCCCCGCCACCCACCCACCTCCACCCACACGGAGCGTTTGGCAATTGTGAACGTCGCATCGACAGACCGATGCGACGTTCACAACGGGCGCCACAATTCGTCCGAGCAGCTCAGACGGAAGCGCGGGTGGCTGAGACCCCCAGGGCGAGCCACGTGTCTTTGAAACGGATTTGGCAGCACACGAGAGAGAGATAGAGAGAGGGAGAGCAGCCTTCTCCAGCCAGACCCTCACTGGAGGGCGACGCAGTTGGCCAGAGAGGCTGACGAGACATTGGCCCGAGTCGGGGCGACCTCCGGCGAAGAGGGAACCCGGTGGAGGCCGAAGACACGCGGGGCGAGGAAGCCTCGCGGACAGAGCGGGGGTCAGACGGGGGTCAGAGCGGGGTCATAGCGGGGGTCAGACGGGGGTCAGACGGGGTCATAGCGGGGGTCAGACGGGGGTCAGACGGGGGTCAGACGGAGATTGTCGTGGGGAGAGGCGCAGGGACACGTGGAGAGAGCTCAGTGCAGCCGCGTGGCCCACTGGGGATGGAGAGATTGGAGTGGGGGGGGGGGGGCTGGGTGAGATCTACAGAAGATGAAGAGGCGAGAGAGTGGGGGGGGGGGGGCTGAGTGGGGGGGGGCTGAGTGGGGGGGGGGGGGCTGAGTGGGGGGGGGGGGGGCTGAGTGGGGGGGGGGGGGGGGCTGCTGATGAGAAATCCGCGCTCCGACTTTGTCAGCCGAGTCGGCTTCGCTGCATGGATGCGCTTGGCGGCCGCGATTGAATGATCACTGTCATCTCTGCTATCATCATCATCATCATCATCGAAGCATGATTGTTGCTCCTATGATCGTTGCAATATCACCGTCGGCATCATTATCATTATCATCATCACGGCCACCACCACAAACAGACTACCACGCCACTCATGGCCACACACCACCGCACACCAAACCACACACTCCACACCAAAGACAAAGATCGCCCGTGTAGCCTGTAACGGACTGTAGGGGCAAGTGCTGTTTAACGAAGAGCACCTATGAAGGTGCCGGCACGGCACCACGAGGGGGTGTGGGTGGGCCAGCACCACGCCCGGCCGCCTTTGTCTCCCCGGTGTCGATGTTTACACACCGCACCAGGTACTCATCTGAGGCTGAGTCGACCTAGGGGAGGCCCAGGACCAGTTCAGATAATCGTCACCGGCGTTGGTGGCCGTGAGCGGGAATCGACCTCGGGTCGCACAATGGTTGGTAGCGCAACGCCCTCACCACTGCACCACCGCTCTTCATACCCCACACCACACACTCCCCCCCAGCCCCCACCCCCACACCCCCCAGCCCTCACCCCCCCCCCAGCCCCCAGTCCCCACCCCAGCCCCCCCCAGCCCCCACCCCCCTGTTTGCTCACCTCGTGTGCCGTGGCCGTCCTTCAAGTTTCGGGTTAATGATGAACCCGTGACCCCGTGACCCCGGAGTCCAGCCAGGGCCCGGGTCTCCGATATCAGCAGAGGGGGACGGGGGGGGGGGCAGGGAGGGATGGGAGGGAGCTCAGGGGGGGCGGGGAGGGGGGCGGGGGGCATTGCCCCCCCCCCCCTGCCCACTTTGAAACCCATAAAATCGGTATTTATTGAAAGGGGTGTTTAGTGAAACCCATTCTCGTTATCTTGTCCCATCGATTTTGATTTCTTAGGAAGGGGCCGCTAGTTCTCTATAAAAATATAATAAGTGACTTCAGTGAAAACATGTTTATCAGATAAACTACATGGAAAGTAACGTATTACCACAACTGTCGTCATTTATTATTCATGCATTGGCTCAGGCAAATCCCGAACCTGCTGATGAGACACTGTTAGCTGAAACCGGTCCT